GTAAACCTGGTCTAAAAAAAATTAAGTCTTAAAAAAAAACCTTAGCTGGGTGCAGTGACTCATGCCTGTAATCCCAGCACTTTGGAAGGCTGAGGTGGATGGATTGCCTGAGTTCAGGAGTTTGAGACCAACTTGACCAACACAGTGAAACTCCGTCTCTACTAAAAATATAAAAGTTAGCCGAGCATGGTGGCACGTGCCCTGTAATCCCAGCTACTTGGGTGGCTGAGGCCGGACAATCACTTAAACCCAGGAGGCGGAAGTTGAAGTGAGCCGAGATCACGCCATTGCACTCCAGCCCTGGGCAACAAGAGCGAAACTCCATCTCAAAACAAAACAAAAAATTAAATTTTCCTTAAAACTAAAAAGAAAATAAAAGGCTTCTATGTTAAGGAAACCTCACAAAAAGAGGTGATCCTGGAAATCCTGCAGAAAAACCTGAATGTAACTCTCCTAATGCCTTGTGCTCCCTTTTGCAGATTTTACAAATATATAAAAATATATGTACATTCCTAAGGCTTAAAGATAAATTTCACATGTGACTGTGAAATGAGATCGTAAAAAGATGTTTCTGTTCTTATGATTCAGCGTGAAAGGCTTTCTAAATGCAGTATGTTGCATTAGTATCTTCATACAGCCTCTTCCCGACATCAAGGTTCTATGCTTATATATCATGCATTAACATTACTGAAAATCTACGTAAAAACTTGGCCCAGGAAGAACCTAATTCAAATATGCAGTTTCCTTGATTTAATATGGCCAAGATTTTGCCAAAAAAATTCTACATGTTTTCAGAGACAGCTCTGGGAACAGAGCCTTTTCTGTCGCTCTTTCTCAAGACACTCCCTTTGAATCTCAGCGAAGGACCAGGAAGGTACATCACCAGCCAAGAGAGACCATCTCTGAAAGACACAGCTGCTTAGATGTGGGTCCAGTGATAATTGGTAGAATTCTTCTTCTAGATTCCTTTTTTTTTTTTGCGGGGGGACATGTTCTGGCTCTGTCTCCCAGGCTGGAATGCAGTGGCATGATCTTGGCTCATTGCAACCTCTGCCTCCTGGGCTCAACTGATCCTTTCACCTCAGCCTCCCAAGTAGCTGGGACTACAGGTGCACACCACGAAACCCGGCTAATTTTTTTGTTGTTGTTAACTTCTTTGTAGAGACGTGGTTTCACCATATTGCCCAGTCTTTCTGAATGTTGAATAAACCTCAAAAGAGAAATGGCAGCATTTGCTTCTATGTAGAAACTAAATGTGGCAAAATTCTCCCATCCTGAATCACAAATTAATTGTTCAAATGGCTATTTCTCATCCAAGGTGTTAGGCAGTTCTCTCATTTCCAGGGATTTTAATGAAACCATGGTTTGCCTAGTTTGTGTTTTGGT